AGAGAGAGAGAGAGAGAGAGAGAGAGAGAGAGAGAGAGAGAGAGAGAGAGAGACTTGGAATATTTGCCAAAGGTAGTTGATACAAAATTCAACTATGTTTGAAGTATTACAAGAATATTTTTAATAATGCAAGTGTTCACTTTAATGTTCGGCAAAGGCTTTTACTTTGGTCTTCTTGCAGAAGAATTAGTATTAATATTCAAAAAGCGAGGCAAGATAAAATATTTGCAGTTATGTGTAACGGAATATTTCTCATTTTCAATGCTGACACTATATTTTTCCTTACCGGGTTCAGCCATTAACGAGATTGTCTCTTGCTTCAAAATGCAGGATGTGCCGTCACCTCGACAGACGCCGCAAACGTCTTCGACAGCATCGGATTCCATATCTAGGTCGCAAGGTATTTCCCTGCACACACCCCCGATGCAAATATCTCGAATACCTCTATAACATGTGGTGCCGTCTATCACTTTTGGTCTCAACGAGGTCACCAGATTAGTTTCGCTCATACAGTAAAGAGCGCAGGGGTTTTCGGACGCCTTCAAGTCTGGGAAAGATAAGTCACGAAGTCGACCCGAAGCCGAAGATCGCTTATCGTTTATTACCTTCAGGTAGATTATACGTCGTCCAACGATGCATCTTTCCATCTTCTGGAAATATCCAGTCGTTGAATTCAGCGCACTGCACATCGCGAAACGACGGCGCGCCGATTTCACAGGGCTGTGAGAAAACGCAATGTTAATCCTTTGTAATAAAAATTTTCTATCATAAACAATTTTATAACAATACAGCGCATTTGACGCCTTTTATTTTTTTTATTTTCTCAATTATTGTTATCAACATAAACCTCGTTTTAATCCAATTTGTAAATGTTGCACACTTTGTCGCGTTATATAAAATTTTTTATACCAAGGAAATATTTCCAATTCTTATTGATTTATGACTATCTCAAGATGCAATTATTATATAAATCGAATGTTTATTCAAGTCTGCTTAATTTCGCGCTATATTTTTATTGGAAAACTGTCTGGATAAGACTAACATTTGTGGCGCAAATTTTATGTCGCTTCCTGTCGCCCATGCAATAAGAACCGCCTTTGGATGGAGATGGGTTATTGCATTTTCTTACGGCGTACGCCACGCCGGAGCCGCAGGTCCGCGAACACCTACTCCAAGACGACCAGGTACTCCAACCACCGTCTGTGATTCCAGGTCGTTCTCCAACCATCAGACATTTCATTTGGTAACACCACTGTAATATTCGTTAATCTATTGCGACACTTGGACTGATTTATGTCATGGAAGACGAGAAGGCATAAGGGATGTTCTAGGAAAATGTATTATGAATGAAATTAAATGATGTACTACGATGTTCTCCAGAAGCACGACGTGCAAATTTATTATGCTCTACAAAGAGATATTTCTTGCGCTTCGAGAGACCTCTTCGTCTTGTTTCATTAGAATCACTAACGCTATTCCCCGACGCGAATAATTATCGAGTCCCTTTATGACTTCTGTACTTTTAAGCATACTTAAAGCTGCTTAAGTGTCTACTGGGTGGAATAATACTTCTGCCTTTGCTTTAACGCGGCGTAAGTGCCTTACACCTTAAAAGGTGTAACGGACGTATTGCTCTTTCATCAATGAACTGTTCTTCATTTACAGTTTCTTGCCACAAATATTAATTATTTGTAATCATTGCTTCAGTCGCAATAACGATACTAATATGTAATGGACTAATATGTAAATGTATATCTAATGTTTAATATTCATATATTCAAGAATGTAAACTAAGATTTATGAACTTGCAATATTTAATACATGTCTTCTATCTTGTCATAGTAAAATCTTATCATAAAAATTCTCAGGAATATTTCGCCATGTTTTGGCACGACTAGTTGAATTTAGCTATCTCACTTTTCCATTTAGAATGTCCACATTAAAGCATACACTCAATTCCGCGATAACACGCAAACGCATTGAATCCGCCCTCGACCGGCTACGAGATAATTGCACTTCGTTCCACGGACTACAATTGCGCATCTATTTGTCTATTTCATTCCACCGATGATTGCCTCGGCTGTTGTGAAGTGGCATGACAAACAAACTGAATTTTTACGCACGTAGGTAGATCAATTTATTTTTCTCGATGTTATCATCCCGATTTCAATTTTTTAAACTTTGCAACTCCCTGCACATCGTTCAATTTTACTCACTAAATTTCATCGGTTGGAAATTTGTTTTTCCTTTTACGTCGAGTTATTTAGATGAAATATCAAGCGTATCCTCTTTTTTTATAAATGTTCGAACGGATCGTATGCGCTACAAAAAGATACATATGTCTTGGCTGATACCATCTACCTCTCTCGAAAATAGTTTCTATTCCCGTTCTCAATGTTTATATACACATTTGAAAGGTAATTGATATTTGCAGTTTGTAAAATCCATAAGATAAAAATCCGCTTTTGATGCTGGCCCGATCCGGCGCACGTGCGTGTCAATTATTTTTCGGCTTTGTTCGGAGCTCACTCGAGTAATTAGAGATCACTCCGCCGACCGGATTCACGAGCTTCATTTCTCAACGGTGGTCACCGACACCCCGAAGCGGTAGTCGGCCAGCTGGTCGGTGCTAATGATTCTCGTCTACGCGCTTCGACGCTTCGGCACGTCTGGTTATTAACATTGTCACCCAAATCTGATATTTCGCTGATGTGTGATATTTGGACACTGCTGGTCGTCTGGTCATTACGGTCTCACGTGCATCACGGTGCACGTTCTATCACGTTTTACAGAATCCCTTTTGCAACATCACGTAGCCGCGCATGCTTGACCAACCGCAAAAAATATTTCGGCCGACTTGTCTCGTTTCCGAAATATTCGTGACTCGACTTGAAACAAGTTTTATCCGGCGAGATACGTAAATTTTTATATTAAATATACATATATTCGCACGATTCTCCGCATATATTCTTTTTTATATAGCGAACTTTTTTTAGCAAGTTTTAAGTCAATCTGTGTGTTTTTTATATTCGAGCTTTTCAGATATATTTGAATAGAACTTTTCATTCTCGAAACAGATTTTGTATTGATTTTGTACCTGTACAGTGCTTTGTAAGTTTGTAAATTCTCTAATTTATTATTGAATTTCAGACAAATAACCTTTTCACTTTTGAAGTGTATTAGACTTTTGTAAGAAGCTCTGCTTATTAAACCGGAAAGAATCAAGAAATGGCTGTATAAAGATTGTAAGTTTTTTACAAACGTATTATGAAAGAGAGTTTACAACGTATTTGTACGATATTAGCTTGATGTGCTTTATAAGAGTGCATCTACAATTCTGCTTGCAATCTTTAACATTGCCATGCTTTGTTGCTTTAAGGGCCAATGAAACTCAACTGAAGTCTGAAACTGGTTTTAATTCTGAAAGGGCGAGTGATTCACAGTCGATGGCGGATCCAGATAGCTTTTTTAGCTTTCTGCTGTATACTCTCGTCGTATCTCTTTCATGAGATACTTAAACCATTTCGATGTAATGGCCTCTCGGTGAAAGGTCTTCGAGAACCTTGATTAATTGATCAATAACGTAATTTTTCTTCGAATCTGCACTGTGATATGCTTTTAAGGCTCTCGAAGGCAAACTTATTCATCAGTTATATTCACAAACGAATATCTTGATGAACAATACATTGAAATAAAGTTAAAAAGATACATAAATAAAACCTCTGCAATTAATTATCATAAGTAGATTAATATAACATTAATTATTTTTAAAACAAAGGAAGCATTGAGTTAAAGAATCTTTTGTTAAAATGAAATTATCAAGATTCAACTTAACTTTTTTAAAAATTAAATTATTATAATTGAAGAAAGATTAATGAATACTATGTTAAAATATTTAAGAGAAAAAAAGATTCTCCATGAATCTTTTGAAACAATTTCTATCGTGAAGGACAAATCTGGAATCGAGACATCATTAATTTTATAAATCGTTCTATCATAGTTCTCGTGATCTATGAGTTTTAGATCATCCTTTGCGCCTTATTTTACGCTCTTTATTCATAAGTTAGAGTAATTTACTTTCTTTTCGCCGCACGGGGTGCCCTCGGCGGGTGGTTTCCTACTAGTCACGCAACCTCTGCCCGGAATAGCACATCTAAGAGTTTCACAGGTCTGAAAACGAGGCCGAGATCAATTTATATTAGTGTAGTTATCTACTTCTTTTTTCTATTAAAAAAGATACAAATAAAAAATACAAATAAAAAGTAAACGTTTACTTTCCTATTCTATCTTGTTTTCAATTTTATCTCTTTTATTGTTTTTAAATTAGATGGCATTTTATTTTTCCTGTTTAATATTTATTGTCCGCAAAAATGTGTGTGTAGGTGCACACGTGATGTGAAAATGTACGCGAGTGTCTACAAATTGAGCTTGAATCCACGGATTTACCGAAACCCAAATGACTGTGCGGATTGGTCATTCGTATGGAAGCCTCATTTCGATTAGTTAGTGCGTGTCGATCGCGATATCTCGGCGTGATATCGCAACATCTCTTCGGCCTCTTATCTGACGTTCTCCATGTACGGCCGGAGAACGTATTTTCCTAAACGGATAAGGTAGGCCGCAAAGGCATCGGTTTATAGATGCGAACGGCAGATGGTGCCTGTTTACAGGCGATATGGAATTACAAGCTATCGATACGTTAACATACATTATCGGAATCATTATCAGGCTGATCGATTATGCTTAACACTTTCTTCGTCAGCGAGTAACTGCCGTGGCGTTACTTTCCAATAATGTCGGATCTATAATCTACGTTTTTAACTTACGATCCCCATGTCACATTGTCGAGCATCTGGTCGATATAGCAAACGGCATTGATCATCACCATTATACATTACACCTGGCAACATCTCCGCAACGGGGAAGTAATGATCTTGCGGCTCGTCTTCTAAGCAGAACCCGTAGCCCTGTCTGAAATTAACGGTTACTCTATATTTCATATTTTATAAATTTAGAATATGTTGTATATTATATATCACAATAAATAAAAAGCAGACTATTCCTTATCTACTCGAGCAATCCTAGATTATTTCTAATAAGGAATCAATTTTAGTTTTGAGAAATTATTTTCTTTCTTTTAACTCTATCTTGTTTTTTAGAATTTACCTTTATTAGAATTTATCTTCCTCAGAATTCTCAATTCATTTCGAAAGAATCCTAAGGATAAAATACGAAAAACAAAAGTACACACGTTACATGAACTTCACGTTTTTATTACGCGAATATCAATAATAACTTATCGCAACCGTTTCATATCGCGAATTACCGTCGAGTTCCAAGAGACAACGAGCAAGGGGCGCGGTTCTTAATTTAATTTGAAATTTACGGCCGTAGATCAGACACTCTGTATCTCTCCGTTCCTAGCAAACGCGCAGAGTAGATGAGGAAAGTAGCTTTGTTGCCGGCGGACTTTAATAAAGCCGCCAGCGAAAAAGCAACAAGCATTAAGCTCACTCGATGTACGAGCGCAGGTAGCGCCGGGAGCACTCGGACCATTTTTTCGTGATGTACATGTCGCCGGGGTGCATAACGGTGGTCTCCACGTATCCGCTCTCATGATAAACTATACCGGGACAGCCGTTCTCCTGCTGCACGTCGTGGGACATACCCAGGCTGGTAATGAGAAAAAGAAAATCGGCTTTTCGGAGCGGAATATTTATTGGGGCACGCGCGTCGTCGCGGGCTCGCTCTTAAAAGGTATCTCGAGGTACACGACGACGAGGAGCCGCTTCATACATTAAACAACGCCCTCAACCGTGACTTATTTACGACGACGCCACGGCATACCATTATTTTCACTCTCGGGCAAAGAAA